ATCTAACCCACTCCCCACACTCTGTACCACTGTTCTGCCTCTGCCTCACAAGTACATACATTAAAATGATAGTTTGAGCCGGGCGTGGTGGCGCACGCGTGTAATCCCAGTACTTGGGAGGCTGAGGCAGGAGGATCGTTGTGAGTTTGAGGCCAACCTGGGCTACAAAGTGAGCTCAAGGCCAGCCTGAACTGCATATCGAGACCCTGTCTCAAAAAAAAATAAAAAAATAAAATAAATAAAATAAAATGATAGTTTGAATGATGAGATTATAAGTGATTTTATTATCTTTTTTATATATATTTCTATTGTCTGCCAAATGAAATGTGCCACTTTTATAAATTTTTGAACTTTTAAAATAAATCTGAAAAAATAAATAAATAATTAAGTCTGATCACTACCAGTCTGGTTTAGTTTTAGCACTCTGACTTGAGTCAGGAAAATCAACAAAGTGACCTCTTAAATGTCTTCTGATCCCAATAATGAATTGCTCTTTTGTTCTCTCTGATAGCAAACAAAAACAGTCCACCCTGCTCCTCTATATACTTCATGACAAATGGGGAGTTTTAATTTTTCCTCTTTCATCAAGTATGGGAGTGCTTTAAGCATTCTACCTCGATGGCTCCCAACCATAGGAATCACTTTCAATCTTATAATTTTGCAAAGTATTTTCTGAAGGCCCAGGGTTCCTGATTACTTCTTAGATCTAACCGTTTCACTGTGGAGTTCGAGCCTCAATAATGTATGAGCACAACACAGGACGAAAGACAAAGGCCCAGGAAGCCCTCTGCCGAAGCCTTCCTCCCTTTTCCCGCCTAGTACTAGGACGCATCCCAGGGAAGTCAGAACAAAGAAGGGATCACCATGCCCTCTAGAGCTATGTTTTCTGCTTTTCTGCTAGTAACTCCGACCACTCGCTCACTCAAATCCTGATAAAAATTCTCAACGCGTCCCTCACCAGCACCTACAGCATCCTGCACCTGCAATCAGTAGCATCATCTGACCTCCCCTTCAGCCTCTGAGTCCCGTCTTCAACTTTCACTGATCTCACTGCCACCGCCCAGTGCAGCCCTTTGGTTAAACTCATCCTCGAGGGCAGTAAAATCTTTCTTTGTTTGTTGTTGTTCTTGCTTCTTCTGGTATCAGGAGTCGAACTCACGACCTTGCGCTTGCCAGGCAGGCGCTGTGCCGCTGAGCTAAATCTCCAGCCCCAGAGTGCAGTTTATCTTCTGAGGTAACATCACACACACACACACACACACACAATCTCTCTGCTCTCACCCTTTGGCTATGTGAACCATGTTTATTTTCTAATCTTGTTAATCCACTCTTGAGCAGGCTGCTGTCTTGACCAGACATCCTTCAGGGATTCTCCACTGAGTATATAACTTCTCAACTTTATCTTCTCTTGTTGGCCATGCTGTTCCCCATTTCAGCCAACTGGTCGTTTTGCCATTTTCACAATGGTGTGCATACTCCTCCTGTGGACCTTTGCCCGGGACCCTCCCTCTAGACAGCATCCTTCCTCCCTCTCTGCCCACTGAATGCTACTGGTTATTCCTGAGGTGGGTCGGGGCCAACTGTTCAAATAAATTTTGACGCTCCATTCCTATGTATCTCTTTACGGCCACTCCTGCACTGTTTACCCCATGTTAACCTTTATGTCATCACATATAGGTCATTGTGTACATAACTTTTCTGCCTATTAACATTTCATAATAAACACCCATGCTATGTCAAGGATATGTATCAGGCATTTTCCATGTGTTATCTAATTTGATTTAATTCTTACAACAGTCCTGTGAGATGGGTATAATCATCCCTATTTTACAGATCAGGAATCTGAGGCTGTCAGAAGTTAACTGAGCTGGGCATAGTGGAGCACGCCTGTAATCCCAGCACTTGGGAGGCTGAGGCAGGAGGATCGTTGTGAGTTCAAGACCAGCCTGAGCTCCAAAGTGAGCTCAAGCCAAGCCTGAACTGCATAGCAAGACCCTGTCTCAAAAACACACACACACAAAAAAAGAAGAAGTTAATTGACTTATATCCTTTTTTTTTTTTGGTACCAGAAATCGAGCTCAGGACCTTGCGCTTGCTAGACAGGCACTTGCACCACTGAGCTGTATTCTCAGCCCTTGACTTACATCCTTACTAAATGATAAAGAGTCATCACTCATTCAACGAATTTTATTCCCTTTCATGTCTATCAGATTCCCAAACCCCAGGACTTTTAATATAGGTTAGAAAGTCCTTCTAGGGGCAATTAGCACTGGAGCCTTCTGGCAAGGAAGATCACGTTAAAGGCAGTTTTCTGTTCCCCTCTCATTTGGCTTTAACACGTTGTACTGTGAAAACCTCACCTTTGGCTCCCAATCAGTACTTAGCCTGGATTAGCACAGGGCTAAAGAAATGATTCATGAAGACAAACATCATACAGGATGTTTAGTTCCACTGGTGATCCTGATTATGATAAAACTGTGACAGGAACACCAAGGCCCCCACACAATTCCAGGAGGCCACAAGTCCCGGCTCTTTGCCCCTCTGTTTAGACCTCAAGCTAAACCTCTCTTTTTCCTAACTGGATAGAAAGCGATGTCTTAGCTTTCGCAGATAGGCTGGCAACAGCACCACTGCCATCACGATCAGCCTTGACCTGATAAGCGTCTTTGACATTAACGCCTAGTGTGGGTTTACAAGAAGTTCACGTGAAGATTAAGCACAGAAAAGGTCTAGTCTCCATCGAACTCATTTTTTACTATTTGAGGTTGAAAGCACCAAAACTTGTTGGATCGGTTCATATTGCCAAAGGAAGAAGATCGTAATAATGAGTTTATTATGTTCCTTATTATTTTGGAGTCCAGGGTGTTCGACAGCCACTGTTTGCTCAAGGAGAGTGTAAACAGAGCTTACTGATGCCTGCAGCAATGAGTGGGCCTCCCACACCATTTGTAACCTGGCATGGGGTGTGGGTCATAGTAAAGAACCTGAGCAAGGGAAGGGGTTCAGTAATTCTTTTTTTTTTTTTTAATAATTCTATTTTGGGTTTTCGATGATTTTTTTCAAGCCTCAAAGCAGTGCTTTCTGACAGTGTGATTGGAACGCCCAATCTACAGATGTGAAGACTGGCAGCAGGGTTGGAATCCTGGTGTGTGGAGTACCACACCTTAAGCTCACTCTTTCTGCTAGGACCATTTGCTTAGGCAAATATTGGTCATCTGAATAGGACTAAACGTAAGTTAGTGATCTTAAATATCAATATTCTTCCTTCCTCCAAACTAAGATGACATGAAATGTTTAATGTCTTAAATGTTTGTTATTTTTCATAGCTGACAAAGATCACAACAAGAACTGCTATTTGTTTTTTTTTTTACTTTTTGGTTTTGGTTTTTCTTCCGGTACCAGGAATCGAACTCATGACCTTGCGCTTGCCAGGCAGGCACTGTGCCACTGAGCTAAATCCCCAGCCCCCAGGAACTGCTATTTGATCTGTAAGACTCTTACCTTCCACAAACGAGTTACCAATGTGCTTCTTAGAGAGGTGGACTTGCTTGGACTCATTATTTTGGCTGATTATGCCACAGGCCACCAAGGCCACTGAGTCAGAGAAACTGAAAAAAATCATCCTGTCCCCAACCACCTTTAAAACATGTCATAAAAACTCTTGGTGAACACATAGATAGCCCAGAGAAAGTCATCACTGGAGCTAGGAAATGTTACCAAAAGTTCCAATGACTGGAGTCACTTTTTTTTTTTTTTTGGAGTCACTTTTGTCATATTCATGAGTCTTTCAAGTCAAGCATCTTTATTCACACAAAAATCTCTACTTCTCCTTCCTAATATGATATGTTTTGGACAGTCTAAAGCTCAGGATGCCTTACTAATAATATATTTCCATATGGAATAGAATTGCCCTTGCTAACCAGTTAACACTGATGACTTATAAAAAACATGTTAGCTTCTCAAAACCTTAGCTAAATTTGACACTGGGTTTACTTTGACAGTGCTAGACTCCTGAGGCATTTTGAAAATGTTCACATTTCACAGATAACAGAAATTTTATTGTCTTCTCCAGTGTACTTCTTGTAAATATTTTATTATTGCCACTGGTGTGTTTTAAAAAAAAAAACTTAGGGCACAACCAAATACTGTTATTGCAGTAATACAGAAACTACTAAATTTTGTTATTCCTAATACCTTTTTGTGTCCCTCCAAAAAGAATTTTCAAAAGGTATTTTTGGTTTGAAGATACTTATTACCTATCATCTGAACTATGTTGTCAACAATTTAGAAACACCTCTAAAAAGACATAACATATGTTAGCAGAAGCCCGGGGCATGAGAGTAGCGAAAAACTCTGTTAAACGACTCCAAATCTGGATCAGTGTGGACCATGTGCTAAACAGCAAACAAAGCGTGCTGAGGGGTGGCAAAGCCAGAAGAGCATCTCATTTAGCAGCCTGCAAAGTAGCTAGGTGCTCAGTACCAAGGCGAGAGTGTCGTTGGCATCCTACCGTCCCTTTCCGCACATCTCCCGACTTCACCTTCACACTCCGTTTTTGGAAGTCCTGATAAACACCACAAGGATTCCTACTTGGCTCCACCACTTTCTCTGGTCTCCCTAACTCCTTGTCCTAGCGCCCGCCTTTCCTCTTTCTATTTTGCCTCTCTGTATATAATCTTTTCCAACCATTTTTCAGGTAATTTCACCACATCTGGAAAACAATTCATGTCCCAGGGACCCACACCGCTCCTCTTCTTGGAGCTGGGACCTTCCTCGCTGAGCTCAGCACCCCAAGCTGGGAAGGCGGTCTATTTTCACGAGGCTTCCAGTGGGTCGGCCTCCCCCTGACGCCAGCCTCATCCTCTTCCCTGCCCCCACGTCTCACCCCAAAGAAATCCAAACTCCGTGGCCTCTGAAACTGTGCCTGGGTCCCCAAGGTCTCCGCCCGGAGCTAAGATGTTTCTGCCCCGAGTGGGGTCGGTTGGACGGGTGGACAGTACCTCTTTGCAGGCGTGAAGCTCCGGTCCAGTTCCCTGGGTGACCCGGAAGGTGGTCCCAGCCCAGAACAGGAGGTACAGAAGCTGGGACGTGAGCTTCTCAGCTCCTCCCCCGCCTCTGGCAGAGGGATGGTGGCCGTGGCCAGGCTCAGCCATCGCGTTGTCCTGAGCGAACGGCAGTAGCGGCTCAGGTGCTGCGGCGGCTGCTTCTGCTGGCAGGAGGAGGAAAAACGGGGGAGGGAGGCACACAGGGGGAGGATGCAAGGGGCCGGGCTCGCTCAGTCACCTCCCTGCGGCTACGCCAAGGCCGCCCATCCTTCCTCCTCCCTTCGTCCTCTCCGCCTATTCACGTCGCCTTGACAACCGCATCCTCTTCCGCGCGGCGCTGGGACCACGCGCGCCTCCGCGGCTCACCTGCCGGTTGCTATGGCA